CCTTCCCATTATCCACCCAGAACTACACTAAACCAATCAGTGGACTGATTCAGTAATCACACTCTTATCCCCAGCATCAGACACTTAATCCCAGCATCGCACACCCTAGATCCAGCCACCTCTGAAAAGCCCCACCTCTGACTGCATGAGGCTTTGGGGAGACATCTAAACACAGCCATAACAGACTGCATGCTCTCACTTACATGTAGAATCTAAAAAAAGTCTAACTCAATAAAGAGGGTGCTGGAGGTTGGAGAGGGAGAAGGGAAATGCTAGTTACAAGGTAGAGAGCTTCAGTTAAGTGAGAGGAGTCTTAAGAGAGCACTGTACAGTACGGTGACTGCAGGTATTGATAAGGTATTACAGACATTAACATCACTAAAAGAAATTTTACCTGTACCATAGAGAAGTAGGTAAGGTGATGGGTACGTTAATTCACTTGATTTAATCATTCAACAACGTACTCAGGTATCACAGCATCACACTGTACCCCATAAATTTATACAATTATTTGTCAACTTAAAAAAATATGTCCTCTTCTAAAAGAATAAGCAGCTAAATTTTATGTGAATATTGTAGCTGGTCTACATTTCATTCTCTACTGATCTGAGACCAAAAATGTCCAAGAGTGAGAACAGGAACAGAGCAATTCCTGCTCTGAACCACCTGGGACTCTGGCTGCCTTCCACCTTCCCAGATAATTTTAGTAACCGTGGGTGTGCTGAGCAGGTGGGAAGATGGATGAAAGCAAGGCTACTTTCCCTGCCTGGTCAATGCACCTGTGCCAGAAGAACAGCAAATTGGGTTTGGCTTACACTGGGCATGTTCCCTTATTCCTTCTTGGCTACCACAAGAACAAGAGTCCTTTAAAAAACTCTTCTCCATACAATGGGGGCAGCACTGCATGGGAGCCCACAACTGGTTCTTCCGCAGAAAACCGTGGGAGTGTGAACCTTGCTGCCCAGACTCCCAGTGCAGTCACCCAGCCCTGCTCGCCATCAGAAACAACGGGTCCCACCCAGGCAGAGAGGTTCGTGCTATGGAAACCCCCGTGGGACCAGTGGGAGTCAAGCACAGTGCTCCTCCTGGAACTACAACCTGCCTTCACAGTGGCCAAAGACTTGGAAAACTTAAATATCTGAGCTTATAATATGAAAGTCCACCTTTTCCATCAACATTTCAAAATTTATAACTGAAAACTATGTATACTGAACTATTATCAAATCTGTGCAAACAAGTAAATATTAAGAATAGTAGACTCTTTTCTTCTAAACAACTAAGTCAGCATTCACTGCTATTACACAATTACACAGTAATTTTGTTCATAATATCTTTAAAACTACATGTCATTAATTTGAGCTTAAATGAATAATGCACATATAATACCATTTAAAACAACTGGAGCCGGGCATGGTGGCCCACACCTGTAATCCCAGCCCTCGGGAGGCTGAGGCAGGAGGATCCTTGCGAGTTCAAGACCAGCCTGGGCTACAAAGTGAGCTCAAGGTCAGCCTGAACTGTATAGCGAGGCTCTGTCTCAAAAAGACAAAATATAAATCAATCAATCAATCAAAACACCTGGAATCTTATGTCCTTAATTTCTGGTCTTGAAATAAAAAGCTGGTACACACATTACAGTTGTGACACCTTTAACCAAATACAGCTTTTTTATGTAGGAGTGCAGCCTCTGCTTTTGCTAATTACAATTTTTAGAAGCTTAATTAGGTAAAATTGTATTGGCTGACCAAAATGGTGGCAGTGGATGTGATCATGTGAATGGAGGGGAAAATGCACACACACTCCAGAAGAACAACTGGGAAGTAACAGAGCAAAAAGTCTATTTCTCTAGGTGTGAAGAAATGTCCTCTGGCTGGCCTGGCTGGCCTGGCTGGCCTGGCTGGCCTCCCTAAGTCACTTCTCCTGAAATGCAGCCCTAAATACATTTTCTCATTGCTATCTTCACAATCACTTAGATGGTTTTTGAGACACAAATGGAAAGAAATTACCACTGCAGTGTCCAGTTTTTCTGTTCTAATCAAAAAATAAATAAAAGTAAAAACAAAACCTTCCCCTCCCCCCAAAAAAGACAGCTTAGTAGCAAAAAAAAAAAGCTGTAAGATAAAGAGGTCATCTAAGTTGCAAACACTGCCTTCCAGCACAAAACTGCCCAGTTTTTAAATTTAAAGTAAAAATGTTTTCCAATGTAAAAGCAACAATGCTTCTCAAAGTCTAACAGTACGTAGAAATGGCACAATATTCCTTTAAAATTAACTTACAAAATTCCTTTCATAACCAGAACAACTCATTTAGGGATATATGATTTTCTCCAACTAATTAAGATGTGTATGTAGTGAAATAACTAAGGCAGTAACCATGACGCCCGGTTCCTCTTTTCCTTTAAGAAATCATTAGGAGAGCTGAAATCAGCAGCAAACTAGAATATATACATACTAAAAACAGTATGTTACAACACAATTCAGTCTGAAGTAACCCCCAGAAAAACCATTTTGACACCAATATCTAAAGAACAAAAGCTAATCTGGAATTTAAGCTGTTTTAAATTTGGGGTAACTTCAAACTTTCTATTCAGACTTTCACTTTTCACAATGTGGTGGAAAGGAAACACTGATTTTTTTTTTTCCCTTTACAAGGAAAACTTGTTATGGACTACAACCCTATGCTCATTTGATCAGTTACACATACTTACCAAAAGTCTACTCTCCAGGAGCTTGGAACTTGTCCATAAGCAACTCTCTTCCAGAGCACCTTTACATAAACTTGTAATTATAAAAAAGTTTCCTACGCCAGGCATGGTGACACACACCTGTAATCGCAGCACTCAGGAGGCTGAGGCAGGAGGATGGGCATGAATTCAATGCCAGCCTGGGCTACACAGTGGGTTCAAGGCCAGCCTAAACTACACAGCGAGACATTGTCTCAAACACACAAAAAAGTTGCTGTATGAGATATCAAAAGCAACCTTTGTGAAACTAAAAGTGAGGATTTAACATTCAACTTTCTTTACATCTTACAAGGAAGCTGTCAGATAGTCTCAAGGAGCAAAATGAGTTTGAAAGACCGTAACACAGAAAAAACTTTGTAGTTTCAGGAGGACAACAGAATCTCATAACAAAGTCATACGAAAGTAAAAATCGCTACTGGAAAGCACATTACCACAGCCTACTAAGAACGTTCAATTGTGAAATGACAAAGCTGATACAAAGGAAGACCTCAGAAACTGTCTTACCCCTTCTACACAGCCATTAGGTTTCTGTAGCGTCACCTAAAGACTCCTCACTTACCTGTAGTACTTCCTCACCCACATCAAAGACAGAATACCTCTGCAATGAAGGACGGTAGTTCTTTAAACTCTATAAATTCCTGCATGTCTAATTTCATAAATGAACTTGCTGCACAATTTTTTCTCATAGATTTGATAGCTTCTACATTTCTTCCCCGAGAAACCCGCAGCAAGAGACTGCCGTAGAAAAAGGGAACCTCCCTGGGTTCAAATGCTTTGGTACAACCCATCTCGTCCTCACATAGGGAATGAAGGCCAAGCCCATGAGCAGCATATATGTAAGAAGAGAACTAAATAGAGTACTGACTGCGAACACATCGGACCGCTGCTCTCACGAAAGCAAAACCGAATTTCCAGATCTAACCTACTACCCTGGGAATAAGGAAAATGACAAACAGCAAAAAGGAATTCCCAGCGAGGTGCCATTTGAAGACCCAAAGACCGTATTAGGACAAAACGTCATGCTACATGTAAAAGATGGCTCGAAGACACACAGGGTCCGAGGGTGTCTCCGACCTAGACCCGAGGCGCCACCCGCCCGGTAAGCCGGCGAAGGCCCGGTCTGAATGAAGCAGCAGCGCAGGCAGCAGCGAGGCCGGCAGGGCGGCCGGGCCCTGCGGAGGCCCGAGCGGAACCCGCCGCGGCTCCGAGGC